TGGGCAGACTGGGCAGCAAACAATGCACATTTTCCGATTCTTTAGTTAAAAACTTCTCACCTATCTTTACTGCCATTGATTTCTACTCGATCTTTCTCAGAAAAAGCAGCTAATCTTGCTGTTGACTTCAAAGAAAAACTTCCGAAATCGATGAGGTGAAAAGCGAATGACAAGGTGAAACGGTGTGACACGATGTGTTAGTTGAAGCAGCAGATGGAAGACAAGCCCCCTTCAGCCAGCCGGCTGGTCGCCGAATGGTCAAAGCAGGTTTACGAGACCGACCGCTTTCCGGTAGGGATGCGAAGATAACTACTCCTCTACGGGCACATATATTCCTTCTACGAACACATTGACTTTGTGAGTAGATAAATATGACATCTTTCCGACTCAAAGCCCTAAAAAGTCCAGTTTGAGCCCCTCAAAGTACTCGCAGCTCGAAGATCCACTTACGCCATCGTCGCTGGGTCATCGTGAGTGTGTGCGATATGCTCTTCATTAGCGTATATCACTGTTCGCAATGTTGACTCAATGTCTTTTGTCAAAGGATTCGCCCTAATATGTGTCAAGAGTGGTACTATGACATGCTGGTTACGGATAACACTTCCGCTCGCTTTTGAGCTCCTTGTGGGAGAACAACTGTTCTAGAAACTCAAGTCAAAAACAGTGTCTCAGTGTTAGATCATAGAAACGCCAACTACGCTTACTTTCTGCTACAAACTTATACTGAGAGTAAAAATATTGATGAAAAGTTTATAGTAGAACTGAGCAATCTTGGTTACATATCGCAGTTGAAGGATCTTGTGCTGAAAAGCGTGCATCATGGAATGATTTATTCAGAGGATACTTCTGGCAGCTTTCTCCAAAGTTATCAATTGACTGATAAGAAAAATTTGGTAATTCGGTTTCTTATTTCTGAATTGATTTTTTTCGTTGTGATATGATCAAAATCTATGCAAATCATGCAAACTTTCATTTTTAAGACATTCCTCCCGCCACATCTGCAGCAACGTCCAAGTGTCGTTTTGCCGTTTTGGTTACAGAAATTGCGAAGAGAATTCTAGAATGATGTGCTCTGTGTGCATCTTATTCTCAAACTAATATTCACTAATTGTGTGGAAATTCTGATTTTTCCAACTAAAGTTTCGGTTCAGAAGTGACAATGGACAGGGGTTGCTCTTACACTTTCGAACGGGTTTCTCGAATATAGAGCCGGGAGCCAAGACGAATATGCAAAGGAGGCGCAAAGAAAGAATTCCGAAATAACTTGCAGCTTCAATGGATAATTTTTGATTAAAATGATTCCTTTACAAATGGTCTAGGATATGCATACAATTATTGGAATTGAATAGACAATCTGCTAGATGCTACCCAATTTTCTTATTGCACCAATTTGATATTCTCATCCTTTGTTTTAGACTTGATATTCATTTAGCTTCCTTATTTTTTATGTACATAAAGCAGTAAAATAGAATCTATATAATCCCGGTTGAAAATAGTGTTTCAGCCTTCAATCGGTACCTCAAAAAGCTTTCAAGGAACTTTCAAGGAGAGAGGAAGTGAACGTGCAAGTACATCACTTCAGTTTTGTACTATCCCCAGTTTCACATGCTAATTGATGAAAAAATGTTAAAACTTTTGATTAAAACACAAAATCACGAGAAGAAGACTTCTGGCCGCTTAGAGCATGGCGAGTGACAAGAGTGGGAGACTAGCACATTTATAGCACTCCATTCAGTTACTATAGCAGCGAAGATTCGCTATGACAAGAAGGGGTTAAAAGTAAAATTAACAGTAAAAAGGACTCACAGTAATGTTTCGTAAGAATCTTACCGTGAGTTCTTGTACTCAATATGGCTGTTAAAACACGTCATCCTCTTGATCTTCTTTATCAAACTCCTTGGAGCTCTAACTATGTGTTGCCCAATGACATATTATCTTTTGTCGTCTTTGTCGAATTTCTTTGCTAAAAGTACCATCGCAAAAGTCAAAGAGGTCATTAAACAAAGAATAAGATTGTTCTTTGTTTATTTTACATCAACGTTCTCTAAGAAAATAACCCTTGCGAAGTTGTTCCGAACTTGACGTCACCATGAGGGCGATAACATTAGTAAATGCAAAGGTCACAATTTTTATTCAAACTTACCTTCAATCGTCGTTTCTAAAAAAATTGTGTGCTTGTTTCGAAAAATATCGAGCAAGCAAGAGGGGCCACTTCTTCTATTAACAGTGATAGCAGAAGTAAGGGATGGTAGTTATCAAATCAGTTGCGCGATTGAGATACAGTGAAAAGGCATAAAAACGTCAAACTCTAAGAATATGATCAATTTTTAAAAACTATCAGGATGGTGCAAAAGTAATGCGCGTTTTCTTACCCTTGTTTCAGAAAACTTTTTCCATCAGCTTTTTTCTTCGGGAGAAAATTTAGCACACTATCAAAAAGCTCTTTTTATGTTATCCATGTTGGTTAAAACGGGCTTTTAGCTTCGTTCGTTAAAAATTTCCAAAGCTTCACACAACCGCACTCAAAAACAGGATTTCATTGCATTTACTTTTCTGGCCAAAATTCGAGCGCGGATGAAGGCATTCTTCCAAAACTTTAGATTCTGTATGTCTTGGAAATTGTCTACATTATGCACGCTTGAGTATATTTTCTGGGATCATCTAAGCTGAGATATCGACACCTCGACATGGATAGTCGTTGCATTCGTTTCTATGGTTAATGGATTTGTAGTAGCGGAAGCAGTTGCCAAACTTCTCACATTTCTGTAAGCGCAAGGATGGGGACTCCTTCTGGCAGTTATTTCCAAAAATGTTGCTGTTCGGTATGCAGAAAATTCTGAAAAAATCCATGATTCGGGCTTTGTGGCCTATGAAAAAAAAGTTGAAAAAGGTGACATTTTGCTTTTCAATTCTTTTTCTTCTTGCAAACTTTTTTCGTCCAAGCCCTAGTATAGGAGGGTGTGCGCTGTTGCGAAAGGTTTCCTGCCTATGATGGTCTTTATCGCGGAATATGCAGATTTGTTAGAAAGTTATAGCACGTAAAATTGAGATCTCACAATATGCGCATTACTTTTGCACCAACCTAATATTACTCCAGAATTGTGTTTACATATGTGCCTCGGTCTTTTTTACGTATTCCATTATTAACTGAAGCCACAGGTGGTAAAATATCGAGATTTCACAGAACTATAGGAATTTGTTTGTCATAACTAGCTTTTGGCTCGCATACCAAACAAGTAAAATATAACTAAGCCTGTTATGTATTTCTCATCGTAAGGAAGGAGTTTCGTGCATTCACAAACCCTATTTCCGAGTCATTGACATTTTCTATGAAGTCGTATGCCGCTTGAATTGAATGTCAGATAAGCATGGACACTTCTGGATTCTATCTCGTCATCAATGCAGAATAACATACGCTCTGTGTGATTGAATCGTCTCTTGAAGTGCTGACCCTTTAGGATATCCGTAGATTATATGCTTATTTGCCGCCGGGAGGCAATTAACAGCCAAGTGTCATCGACAAGCAAAACATTTAGCTTTTGCCTACGGTATGTCATTCATGTGCTCTGTTAGCAACCTTAGAGTCCTCTAGACTTGTGAAGGTTGAAAGATTATATGTCTAGAAATGAGGAAACAAAATTTTCAAGTGCAATTTTTACTGTTCGACCACCCCCTAAGCGGCAATAAATGATGTCCTTTTGATAGATCCTTTTCTGTGTACAATGCTTTTAGGCACCATAAACATGATTTAGTTTGGTAGAGCGTGAACCCAAATTTGGTAACATCAAGTATTATACCCCTCCTAAGTTCAGTTCGGGGATTTTGCAGAGAGATGACACTATGCACGACTGAATTTTTCACAAAATTATGAAGCACTTGTATCACCTTAACCAAATGTCTACTTAAAAATCTCCCAGACAGACCTGAAGCTCAGAGTTTCGCTGAAAAAAATGGAATTGTCTGCAGTTTTGCAAAAATTAAGACATTGTAGTTTTTACAAGACTGCAAAAACACAAAGTATTCCACATTAGGGCTCTTTTAGTGGTATGAGGCATACTGAAGTGAATCTAATTTTTCGTACGCTTAGTTTTCCTCCTTAACACTTCGCAACGCTCCCACTAGTCTCCAGTTCTTTTCATGTAGTAGACTTAGCACATCTTCCGGTATCTAAAAATAATGGCTCATTACGGGTTTTGAAAATACAGCAAGTTATTCACTAACAGTTTTTGAAAATCACATAAGGTCGGATCTACAAATATAAGCTTTTCATGGACTTTTATATATGAGATCATAGGACATGTCAAAGACCGACAATCTTAACCTCTCTTCTAGAAGAATTAATTATTGGGAGAAAATCATAATCTTTATTAATTTAACTCAGGTCTGAACAGCGATTTTTGTAATGTAGCAGTAATCAACGTTCGCATATGATACCGATTCAAGCTTTAAAACCGATATTTTCTTAGCCTTCAACATTGGCATCCGTAAACTCAATAACATCTTCGACTTTGCTCCTTTACAAAACTTTGAACCTTGTGTTGTTGCAGAAAAATGAGCTTCGAGAGCTTACCTATAATTTGTTCTCTAGCGTTTCTTTTATATGTATACCAGGATTTTCGAAAATCAAACATTCAAACCTGTGTGTTAACTATAAGCAGAAACTACCAATCTTTCAATAGGACTTGGATGGATGCAACGATGTATCAATGTATCTGCGCAAAGCATTTGTGCTCTTCACTTCTTCACAGCATTCTCCGATGCACATAGAGTGACCACGTAGGAAAAGGACCAAGATGCTCGACCTGAACGAAGAGCAGCAGAGGCGTGGCGTCGGACCTTGATTGGCGCTTTACTGGTGGGTGGGGCGAGATGAGCCATGTTGCGATTATGGTAACGAATCTGCTCCAAAGCCATTACTGTATCGCTACTTGCTCTGAGCAGCTCATCTTCCCTTCGCTAAGCCACCACCATTGCCAAATTTCCTTGCAAGTTTTCAGTTGATGTCGTCACCTTCCACACCTTCAATGGGCGGGCTGGCTCCTTCTAGTCTCGAGCAAATATTGCGCCTTAGGCACGAGAGGAATCAGCGGACTCCAAAATGTGCTCGTTGCAGGAACCACGGAACTGTTTCGGCTTTGAAAGGTGCGTTAAGTGTCAAAAAGCTCAAAATTACCGATTCGTTAGAGCTTACGTCTCTTTGAGATCGTATATATCATGAGTTGCAACAATGAAATAGCAACACTCTCGATACGTCGAAACAAATGTTGCTTGAGGACCGAAAATAAACTCAAGCTCGCAAAAAAATTCCTCAGATAAGAAGATATAAGGGAACGGAGCAGTGACATCTCCTTAGCTCGATTTTGATATTGTCATCAAATTCTCAAATTGAGCTTTAATTGCCATCTGATTCTTAACTGTTCTGATTCTGGTTAAGTAGTCATTTTGGACAAAACTCCTAGCTATAAGAAGACCTAGAAACAATGGAATTGTGAATTAAAGTTCTGTTTAGGCCATAAACGTTACTGTAAATGGAAAGATTGCATGTGCGCGAAATGTACGCTGATAGCAGAGAGACAAAGAGTGATGGCTGCTCAGGTAGAATAATTTATTTTTCATCTTTCTTCTACCGTCATAATTCCATTTATAATTTAGGTTGCTCTACGACGCCAACAAAGTCAAGAAGAAAAGGAAGCTAAAGACCTCCAGATACTACTAGGCGGAAACGGTAACGTATAATCACTTCCCTTTAGGCTAACTAGCTTGAACCAACTCTCGGCAGCGAGGGCAAACATGTCGTTCAATGAGAGCGCTGTACTAGCTTGTGTTGTCACGCAACATTCAACTCATTAGTGTTGTGACCAGGTGCGGATGAACGCAAATATGACCTGCTGCTGTGATTCACCCCTTTCGTCTCTATTGGGACAAGTCAATGGGAAGCCAACACTCTTTAACACTCGCAAGCCTACCCTAAACACACACACTCGTCCACTTCCTCGCTAAATATGACACCCTACTGTAAACACAGCAGAAGCTGCATGCCCTTACAAGCACTTCCCACCAGTGCTCTACTAGGCGATAGATTTTGTTGAATTCTAAAAAAATGCAAATGAAAAGAAGCTACCATCTCATCAAGCGAAAGAACAGAAAAGTTAGAGTAATAAAGCTTAAATCCAGACTTTGATGAAAAAAATGGTGGTTTAGAAGCAGAGTTCACGAGTGTACTTCGTTCTTCAGCTACCGAACTACTGGATATGCTACGAAAAAATGAGCAACCTACGTTGGCCAATGCACTCGACAACGACGGTGGGTTCTTTGTTCACCCTTAAGTAAAACAAGTAGTGTTGCTAGAGCTTTCATGATCAATGCTCTAAATGATCCTCCACAGTTTTGCGCGTCCTCATAAGTAATAGAATTATTGTTAGAAAAAAATCAGAGCTATGAATCGCCACCGTTCCCTCAAACTTTACTTTTCCACCTAAACGTCTAATAGGGCTCTCAGATTTTCTTGGAATTAAGAACTACAATTTTTTGGTCCAGGACTCTTTTTCGTGTGGATATATCGTAATATTTTAACTGATTTTGGCCATAAGTAAGAAGAAAACTCCTCGAATCAAGGCGAAACTTTTACAAGCGTTATTGCGTCTTTATGAGCAGAATTACATGTCGATTATTTCCCTAACCTTACATGCATCGCACAACAGAAATCTAATTCTCTTTGATGCGGGGCACATACAGTAGTTCATTCCAACAATCGTCTTATGCCACTGCACCACTTAGTTGGACCCTGGCAAATGCGCAATTAAATTGTACGAGTGCTTTTTTCAATTTTGCAGTCGCTTTCATGTTACTTCTTCGCGGTTTCATACAATGTTATCAATTACGATAGATGCTACTGCGCGGAATGTTCTGCTGCAGATTAGAAGGTGCAATTACACAAAGCTTTTGGAAATAAGATCAATTCAAATATACAGGGTGTCCCAAAATAATGTGCACACTGTTTGATTTTGAATAACTCTCTTATTATGAGGTCTTTCGAGAAGCCGTCAGCGCCATTTTGTAGAGCTGGCTTCAGCTTAGATTTACAGTATAGAGCGAATCACCGTCCCCCTTCATTACTGTAGGATTACGGTAGAAACTTGGAACATATGGTGTCACTGTAGAAAAAGCTGCCGTTTCAAAAATTTTCAAAAAATGTGAAAACTTGTGTAATAGGGTTTTTAGGGACGCTGAGTTCAATACTCAACTATTCTCGAAATTGCGAAGCTTTCTAAACGGTGTAACCACACTTTTTAGGAACATTGAAAAAATGGCCGCTACTGCTTGCCTCGCATAACTTTTCAGTGAAGCATCATAATAAGTTGGGAACTTTAGAGTTAGAATCAGAAACTCTAATTGGCCTAGTGTAAAAGTTTTTAAGCTGTTTTGATTCATTTCTGAGGCAAAATATGACCTTTTATGGCCCAAAACGCTCTTTCAAGTTTCTACCGTAATCCTACAGTAATGAAGAGAGGTCGGTGATTTGCACTATACTGTAAATCTAAGTTGAAGCCAGCTATACAAAATGGCGCTTACGGCTTCTCGAAAGACCTCATAATAAGAGAGCTATTCAAAACCAAACAGTGTGCACATTATTTTGGGACACCATGTATAGTTGGAATAAAAGCAATCCACTCTTGAAACAGACGAAAGATTATTTTTACCATTCTTAATTTATCACAATCAAATTCTTATTATAGATGAAAAGCAGTCTCAGGTTTGGTTTAATTCAGTCTCGCCCTCCCGTTCCTTTATATGCGATGGCGGCAGCGTGGGGTACATCACATAGAATGATTTACTTAGCCTTAGCATCACACTTTTGTACTTGTAAACACTACAACACTGCAGCATTATTCGTGGAGCAGTTATGCATTATATCCTAACGAGTGTTTTGAGACCTCTGAAGGAAATTTTTCTACGTGAGACATGAATGAACACGCCAGAAATATTTCTCCTAAAGTGAACATTATTTACAGGTTAGGTTAGTGCGCAAGCAAAGTCAAACAGTACAACGTTGCAACACTGGAACCACACTAAAACTTGAATACATACAAACACTGACTGCAAATCAAAGAAGGAGAACTAGCGATTGTACGTCAAAACTCGTCTTGTACAATTTGCATAGTTGCAAATGAAGATGACCTGAGATAAACCCGCATTGCAATTTTCACTCAAAACAGTATTGTACGAATATTGTCAATACCTCTGCTGCAAAGTCTCTCTTCCCAAAGACTCGTATCAAAGGTTGGCCCAAGCTTATTTTTACTTTCAAGAGTCACTGCTGCTGTACTGTGAGCAGGGTAAATCCCAGCATTTTTATTTTGTAATGGCGCCTAATATTGAAAGGGGAATTCACAATTGTATTTTTGTATCTTTGTAAACACATATTTTCAATCGAGAGCACTTTATATGACCCAAAACCATTTGTTTTATTCTGTATTTTTGAGAATCTCAAAGAAGTATAGATATAACGGCGCCTGATTTTTTTGGGGAAGGGGAAGGGAGACCAAACTTCTTTCAAAATTTTTTCTTTCTGTGCTAACTTGAATTTTTTAAAATTAAAAAATGCTTCAATTATCTGTAGCTAAAAACATTTCTCTTGCACGACTTCATAACACATGTAGGCAACTTTAAAAACTTCACGACCCGCTCAAAATTTCTGATGCAAGTTCATAATATTGCTTTAATTCTCTGGAATTTTTTTTGAGAAAAGTCAAGCTGTCGAAAAACATCTTATTCAAATCAGGGAAGTAAGCAAGCAGCTCTCACAAGTACTATTTTTGTGGAAACTTTGTAAAAGAGCTCAAAAACATTTGATGAGTTCAGCGCAACACAATTTCTGGAAAATTGACGCTTTTTTGGTAAGAAACTGCGAAACTGTTGAAATACCACTCTTAAATGCTTTCCTCATCATTAGGGAAATACCGGACTTTTTTGAATAATAAATTTCGGTGGACAGATGTCCACTTCTTTTCTTAAATACCTCCACTGTGTCTTTTAAGCTAGTACTGTACACGGTACTACAAGTTCTCAAAATCTGTTTAAAAACAGATTTCACTGGCTATTAATACAGAATTTTCTGAGAAAATTTGGGTTCTAGTGATGCTTTCATTCGGGAAGTTTTCGAAGTCATTTCGTAGGCAAAGTCGCGAAGCAAATGAGCAAAAGTTTATTTCTTAGAAATTTTAGCACAGTATAAACATATTATAAATATTTATATACACATCGAGAAGAAAGCAACTCGTTATTTGAGCGAAAATACATGGGAGCTATGCGGCGAACAAGGCGTTGTAGCACGATGGCCGAGTGGTTAAGGCGTTGGACTTAAGTTCCAATGGACGTAAGTCCTCGTGGGTTCGAACCCCACTCGTGCTAAACGTTTTGCGTTGTATCAAACATACATAGGCTTTCATATTGCCTTCTAACAAAGTCACGCCTTTCTGTTTAATTGAGTACGAGGAATTATTTACCTCCATATTGATGAGTGACAGATGCAGGGACGCTGGAGTTCGAGTCAGGTCATTAGCGCATTAAGATGTGCTTGTTGGCAATCGTTTAATAACATTGCGTAACCAATAATTGAGAGAACACTCGTCTGGTTTGATTCGGGAGCACCTGCTCTCACTCTAAATATAATCCTACTTAGCCGGGAATTATTGATAAGTCTTTATTTTTTTAGAAGGGTCATCCAGCGAACCTTTACCTATGACACAAAAGAAAAACGACTCGATTGAAGCAAATCGGAGCTCTCCTTCTAGTCCACCAACCCACACTGAACAGGTAGGAACACTTTCAAAAAAATTTTAAAAGATAGAAGTTGGAGCTCTAGAACTTAACCTCTTTGTCTTCACACCTGTAAAATGGAAAACAAAGTAGTCTGAACACGATTGTGTTGCATATTGAATTTTGATTCTACTCCAACTGAGCAGTATAAGATCCATATAAGCATCATCCATATAGCATGATCCATATAAGGGCGAAACACTTTTGAGTAAAAATTTATCACCCATCCGCAATTGGCACCAGATATTGAAATCGCAAGTTCTCCGAGCAGAGCTCGGCACGAGGTGGCTTACAAGCAAGCTGGATATCGTTTTTGGGACGAAAAGCAAAGGGGGTTTCGTTTTTGTGACCGAAGAGACACGGAAAATTGGCGACGGCGACCTTTTTTTTAGTCGACGTTTCGTTTTTTGGGGGATTTTGGGGAATTTTTCAGGTTTTTAAAGGAAGTTGAGGGTCAAAGGGGACTTCGTAAAAATTCCCAAAAGTCAAGGGGGACTTCGTTTTTTCCATTTTCATCTAGCCACCTCGTGCCCAGCCCTGTCTCCGAGATAGATATCTCACTGCGGATGTAAAAATTTGACTAATGCTCAAAAAGACTTTCCTAAACCTCACATCTTGGAAGGATCTACGTAAAAAAGTTCTGTTCTGGCTTACAATAAACATCATAGGATGTGCCTAAATCCCTAGAATGTGGGAACCCGTAACGCAGCTACTACCATCCATTCCACAGTAATTCAAGAGGTACAAATGAGCAAATTCTTGCAAAAAAAACGCTTATATGCTGCCGAGAAAATTGTGCGGTAGAATCACTCCCTTGCTTCCTGTAACTTGCGACATTTTTGACAACACGGTTTGACAACCAATGAAGAACTTTCATGTGCTCAAATAGAGAAGAACTCCCTAAAACGAAACTCCCGATTGCAGCCTATTCGTGTTTCTCGTAATAGTCTAAAATGCGCGCCAGTTTCAATGTCACATCACTCGTAGGTCGTAAATCTCAGTTTAGTTTCTGTTCAGCGGGGATCTGAAACGACGCAATAAAAACTAACGCAAATGAGCAGTATACGATCTCTGGTTCTCAGTTTTTGATCTTTCGGCGTCAAAATTTCCCTTCTGAGAGTAGGTAGCATTCACTTAAAGAGCGAGACTTAATTATCAAGTCTTAAGTGGACTTCAGCTATATCTTGGCACTCGCGAAAATAAGTGTTAGAGATTTTATAAAACTTATATGTAGTTTAGAACACAGAATCAAAGATTAGAAGTAAACTTACAATCGATCTGTTCCACCAGGGGAGCAAATAGCTGATTATAAGCATTCATAAGTTCTTACTGAATGGATTCATGTTTTGCGACAAAATTTCAAAAATATCGTAATTTTCTCTAACTTCAATCTGTTACATAGTAGAAAAAGGAAACCTTGCGCTTTCCAGAATTGAATCAAAATCCTTTGCTGACATATAGAGTGATACAAATCGATTAAGAAAAACGCCTAAAAAGCAGTTTTTTTGCATTTTGTCGCTAAAATTGCTAGAATGTCGAAGAAATTCAATACAAATCTTTTAAGTTTCATCACCGCAATCTTTTTCAATCAAAAAAAAACTAGCCAAAATAGTTGAAATTTTCAAAATTTTTCATTTTTAGTTTCATTATGCCCTCCAATATGTGTACTAGATAAACACCTGCTAAAGGTTGTAATGATATATACCATATGAGTTCGTAATTTTTTTGAATAAATTCAGAACGAATTTTCCACTTTTTATCCCACTTTCACATCCAAAACAATATTTATTACTTCGGGCGACTTTTGCACCAGTTTGTTGCAATTCCCGATGACAATGAAATTTGGATTGCAGCATATAAAAAAATGAATGTTAATCACAAGTTAATTCTTAGATGTTTTTAGAGTCCCACGTCGTCTTCGCCGATGTCTGCATTCCCTGGGCCGATTTTCCGAACGGCCCCATTTCCTATGCCTCTATTCAACCCGCTTTTCTACCAAAGAAACATGATCCGCTTTACCGGAGGTCAGCAGGAAATTTCTACTTTGATCAATTCAATAAATTTAGAGCTATCTTTCCAGTTCCCACATTCTCATTTCCCGGACTGATGCCAGCTAGCGGCGATGGTTTTCCTTCACAACCTATGGACCCTCTTTTTTCCCAAAACGTTCCCCTGGATTTCTGCCAACGCAAGTCGCGCGATGACTGATGCTAGCAGCGAGACTCGAATGGGCCCGTCGGGTCCTCGTCGTCTACTGCTTTTGAATTCTTCACCACAATTGTACATAAACGCATGCGTCGAGAAGCGCAAGTGTGTTTGCTCTGTTGATCGAGGCCGTTTTTGCTGGCGGCTGCGTGTTTGTGTTTGCCCTGCACGGGCATTCCGTGTTTCACCGATTTAGCCGCTGAATTGGCGAAGTCAAGCATGATATGTTGCCTCGTAGTTTTATGTGCGCCGTAGAAATGTCTACACATTTGCGTAAGAGTTGTTAGAATGTCTTTACGACTGTTTGATCTGAAAGTTCTGCAGAAAAAAAACATACCATATTATGCAGCAGTAGTCAACTGCCGTTGTGTATCAACCACGCTGAAGGGTGACTGAGCTGAAAGCACCTTATAGGCAGCGTTTCGGCAAGATTTCGCTGTTCAATTTTTTGCCTATTTGGAGTACTCTCGCCATGAGGAACCCATATCTGGGAACTTCAGCGAATGAAAATGGAGAAAATGAGCTTTTTTCCAAGCTTTCAAGTACGCATTCGGTAAAATACGCAGGATCTTTCGCGGCCCACCTCCCTCGTTTCGGACTCCGCCCACTTACATGCATTTTCCACTGAATGCGGATCTGGAAAGCCGGAAGAAAAGCTTATTTTCGCCATTTTCATGCGCTGAGAAGCCTAGATATGGGCTCTTCATGGCGAGAAGGCTGCTGAAGGCCAAAATGAAAAACGAATTTTGTCGGGACACTGTCGTCAAATTGTGAATATACGAGCATAATATGAGTTGCACTTTTCACCACATCTCTGCTTCTTTACCGTATGAACTTTCTATTTCACATAGGTGAAGATAATACCGCTAATCTTCACATGTTGAATCGGATTGTTCTGTGAATGTACAAACGCATGATTCTGATAAATAAAGCTGTGCTATCACGAGTGCTTTCATCTCTTTTCGGATGGTTAATCAGCCGTCCTCGCCGAGAAGATATCGAATTAACTTGCAAAAAATTTTACAACTCATTTACAGCGAATTTTAAGCTAAAATTTGTTATACTCAAACCTTTACAGCTAATGATGTGATACTCTTTTTCCACTGCTATGATAGCCCTGACAGCAAAACCTGACCTCTATTCCGTGCTATCAAAATCCAGATGGATCCTCTAACTTGACGTCGGCTATTGCAATATCTTTCTACAATTTTGTCCCAGGCGGTTTTGTTGGCGGTTTTTCTTTTCTCATTCAAGTTCTCAGGGCTGCCGCAATATTTACTTGAAGCTGTCGAATGACTAGGTAAGTATCACTCTTGTATCACAAGATCTAGAGATTAGGTTTTGTACGACTTTAGTGACATCGGAACTAACATCTGTGAAGGACTAGAACTCTTGAACTCTGGCATGTTTCTCTATAACGTCTTGAGGAGAATTACGGTTGTATTCGTAGGTAATTTGAGACATTTTTGTAACATGCCTTATTATCGCTACATCGACTCCAAACCTCAAATGCTGGTCTGTCCAATTGTAGAATTTCTGGGAGGGAGACCTTCAGTAACATAGGCGAAATTGTGAGACAAAAGTACACAAATTTCACGAGGGTGCGTGGCGTTAGGTACCCAGCCGGTGTGGGCGTTAGGTACCCAGCCATTACTGGTACACACTAAGCCACGCCCCCTGGTTGCTTTGATAGCGGGTACCTAACGTACACCGAATCCTAGCTGCTAGAACAGCTCAACTAGCTCGCTAAAGCGCTGGCGCTTCCTGCTTACCAATTTTAAAGTGAGTAAAAGATTAAAAAAGTAAAGGCATTTTTTAGGTTTTATGCAAATTTTTGAGCAAAATTTGCTGGTAACTACTGACCTTTGGTCCAAAATCACCGATTTGATAACATGTTATAAATAAACAACCAATAGCGAGCAAAAGCAGATGAATTTTTTTGAAAATATATATATGCATGTATAAACTTATTAAAGATCAAGTGTGAAAGTGACCACTCTAACGCTCGGAGGTGTGAAATTAAGGGCAGTAATTCTTCTGCGTTAATAAACTGTGTACTACATTATATCAAGATTACTGAGGCTATTTGCTTCGGCCATTGCTGTGGAAAACGGAATTATTGAGACAATTCTGATCGATAAGCAAAAATTTTTCAAGCTTTTGGAGTTTCATTTTGCGGTTGTTTCATACTCATTCTCTTTTCTCACAACCAAAATATGTAATCAGTTTAAGCAACCTAGATCATGAAGTTTTTTGTATCTTGACAGTGGTTACTCTCAATAGTTTTTTGCTTTTCCCTGTTTCATTCTAACGGCATACAATCATCCAAAATTTGGATATAGCCATTTGGTGCTAAATTTTCATTGATTGAATCACAGCTGATGACCTAACAGACTAAGAGGTCACATATTTCCCATAAAGTTCCAATTGCCTGATGGCAAGTTTTTTTCCAAAACTCTTCTTCAATCAATTTCCACGTCTTGTTGTTAAAATTATATTTAAGGCAGTTTTTGGCATAAGAATATCCGTGCAACTTATTAGCAAGGGGCATCTCCGATAATGCGCTTTGCTTCATTGAAATTTTGGTTTGCCGGAAAATTTTACAGAATTCACGCCGACATTATCTTTCCGATCAGATTATCACAAATTTTTTTGCAAAACTATACGAAGTGCTCATAAAAGATTTACCCCCTCTTAACAACTTTCATTGATTTCAAGTTTGATTTGCTGCATTCAAAATTTGCTTCTAAAATTGATTGAAAAAGAAGCAGCAGAAAAAACGATGTGCACAACTTGCGCTTTCACTTGCGAAATTTTTTAAAATTTCCCTAAACTGTCTTCTGTGGGTCGCAAGCGATTCGGTGAGCTAGAGTGCGCTGTTCTAGCAGCTGGGATTCGGTGTATCGTTAGGTACCCACTGCTAAAGCAACAAGGGGCGTGGCTTATTGTATACCATTAATGGCTGGGTACCTAACGTCCGCCCCCCATTTCACGATGACGCACCTTTTTCAATTTTTTAAGCGAGCCGCTCAGAAAACTACTACTCAAAAATGAAGTCAAATGTCAAGTCTCAGAGCAATGGTGGCGCAGCTTGGTGGAATGACTCCGATTACCCGGCAAAAGATCAGGAGCGGAAGGATTTCTCGATTTCACGATATTTTGTGTCAGTGAATACGATTTGCAAATCATCGCTTCCAACGCACATAGCACAACTGAGCGGTTTTGATTTTCCGACATTTTCAATCAGAAAATTTAATACCCTTCAAAACCCTTAAGCGCTGAAGCCTTAGAAAAGGCCAAAAAACAGCAAGTTTGCTCGAGAATCGGTGGTTTTTTGCGCTTATCGAAAACGAGATTATGAGCTTGTCACAATACCTCTGTTAAGCGTCCTTTCTCAAGCCTAGTGTGGGCGCTCCCATACGCATGTTTACAAAGCTTGTAAAGTGCCAATGTATCAAAAACTATCGCAATTGGAAGCGGATGCTCGCTCGTCGTCGCGCGGGCAAATTCTAAGAAGAAAAGTCAACAGGCGGGCTGGATGGGTGGGCGACGTAAGCGGATTGAACTCGAGCGCGGCATTGCGGCGGCTGCTGGCAGCCAACGAGCAGCCAGCGTGTACTCAGCGCATCCACGACGAGTAATCGCTCCAGTCAAAAACTCGCTGTCTTCATTTGTTTGCCGATCAGCGACAATCTGATGGGTTATATTGAAGTCGAGTAACAGTAACTGTGTGGCACAACATAGTGAAATATGTGAGTGAGCTCATTTTTTGTGTCTAAGGTGGTCAACTAGTTTCGGAAACGTGATATGGCAAGGAAACTTTGATGACAGAAAAAATAGGGTGTAAATTCTTCTATCAATTATAGAATTATTAAATAGTTTGAAGAGAAGTTTGTGTTGGAAGCCCAACTATGCTACTATATAAAGGTTGGCACGAAAGTTTGTTCGGACCATGTTCAAAAATTCGTCACTTCTTTCCTCCTCAACCGATTTACACTTGTTTATTTTCGCTTGCAAGAGGAAATTATGCACTTTCAAATAGTACCTGAAGTAACTATTTGTTAAGAGTAAGTTGCGGAAATCGAAGCCGATTACCATAAATTCCGCAGAACGTTCGGGAAAATTCCGCCGGGTCAGCTGCGGAAGTTCAGAATACGAACTGCAACAGCGAAACAGAACACCTGATCGGGATTTGAACCTTGTTCTATTGACTGTAAGACTCACTTACTACCCTCTAAACTACGGATGACATGTGCAACAATACGCTCTAGCTGCTGGTGAAGCAACATCGTAGGAGCCAACACATCCAAAACCTGAGGAAGTACTGGCATGCCAATGTGCTGCGAAACAGCTGGCGTTTTTCGGAAGTTTCGCAGCGCTTTGTAAAAAGTTCTGCGGAAGTTTCCATTTCAACGGTTCTACTTTCGCAGCACTAAACAAAATCCTGCGGAACCGTCGCAGTTTTGCGTATCCTGCGGAATTTTCGATGATTTGTCTGAGCATGACAGGGTGCGCCAAAATTACCGGCGCCAACTTTACAGGCAGTGTGACGAAGGGACCACTGAGAGATACAAGCTCGAATTCATGTCATAGAAGGCACTAATCAATCTCTACAAAATGCATTTTATTGAATTCAAAAAAGCCTCTTAACAAAGATTCGAGAATTAAAAGAAACAGACCAAAATTTTCAAGGAACGCAAAAACGAAATTTCTTCACCTTCATTATTTGAACTGTAACTGAATGAACTCAAAACCTTTCCAGACCCTTTTAAGCTGTGGTTGTAGAGCACAGTTTGCACTATCATGTAGGTCTAATTACATTTGCTGAATTTATTCCCTTACGACATAAGAAAACGTTTTGCGAAAACACCTGCTTACGAGCAATGACCTTATGTGTGAAATCGATTATTAGGCCTCAGACATGCAAAACCTTCCAGGTCAAAACAGCCCTCTATTCATGAGGCATACAAAAGAGTATCTAGTTAAAACGATTAATTGAGGCA